GTTGTAGTTGCTATCTCATTTGATTTGATATTGTTTTGGAGGTGGTGATGATTAATTTTTTTTTCTCAAGTTTGGACACTTTTTTTTTTTTTTTTTTTACAATGGTAGCTGTTTACTTTTTTTAGTGTTATGGATTTGGTAGATAGGATGAGTTTGTTGATTTTGTCATGGTTGTCAGGATTATTATTATTATTATTTAGTGTGTCTTTTGTATTTTTCTTCTGTGAATTTTGCAAGCTTTGGTTTTTAGCATTGTGCAAGAAATAATGTGTGCGAGCGAATTTATGAGGGTGCACATAATTATTAAATCTTAATATTTAAAAACAAATGCATTGTGCCTTAATTTGAAATCGAGGTACAATAATTACCCAGCCAGATACCATTAGAGATGATTAGCCTCTTTATTGCAAATGTTAGTTCAATATTTGCCAATTACTTTTTCCAAAATTACCTCAAGTAATGTCAATTAGAATATGGCCGATACAATGTGTTGCTTATTTTAGGGAATATGGACAGCCACGTCTGTGAACTGAAATGGAGTATGAACTTTTTGTCACTGCTTTTGTGGAGACTGTACTGTAAACTAGTTTACACGGGCAAGTCATTTTTGTGATGGTGGTGTGGGGTCATGTTCTCTCGTATAATTTCTAATAATCGTTTGTTTAAAAAAAAACAAAAAAACACCTTGTCTGTTGGACAAAAAATTTAAAAGAATCATCAAAAGAAAAACTTAAAACTGCTCAAAGTTGAAAAAATATAAAAACAATATAGAAACATTTTTATTTTTTATTGTTCTTGAACACTACACAGACATTTTTTTTTATTGTTTTCTCATTGTAATGTAGTTTCCGTTTTCACCACACATGGAAAAAGTTGACAGGATCAACATGGATTAAAAAAAGAGCTAGTTCAGTTTTTTTTAGCTTGTCCTGCATTTTTAACCAGAAAAATACTGATAGAAATCATCTGTTAAGAAGAGTTTGTAATTAACATTTTTGGTGTTCAACTTCAGTGCTTCACAACAAGGGAAAAAAAACGGCGAAGATAGATTGACTGTAAAAAAATAAGACACTTCACTTGAGCAAGTAAGTTATAGTTTCAAAAGTTTCTATACTTGCAAGTTTGTTATTTTCGTTAATGTTGCAGAAGAAAAAAAAAATGAAATTCAAATACACAATAAACTGTTCATTAACAACTTACAACCCCAGAGTAAATCAAACGAATGAATATGTCAAACTAATTTAAAAATCATATTATTTGAGCACGTTATCCTAGAAGTGGAAAAGGCGACCATAACGAAATTAGCATTGTCTGCTGACTTAAAAAACGAAAAGAAATAAAATGAAAACACCAGACAAAACCCGCAAGTGCGTTACGGTTAATTAGCGGAAAAGAAAAGAGAGAGAAAAAAAAGGGCGATTTATTAAAAGATCACACAAAGAAAGTCACTCCAATTCTTTAATTACTCTGGGGTGTCAGGAAATTTTGTTCCAGATGGTACAAAAAAAAAAAAAAAAAAAAAAAAAACTTTAAAAAATTGGAGGATTTGCCTCCGTTGCCATTCTAATTTTGTAATTAATTCAATTTAAAAAAAAAAAAAAAAAAAAAAGTTTCGCTCGATTTAATTTTGCTTAAGCTTAAATCTTGAGAAATTAAATTCTATCCACTCAGCAGATTATTGTAAGAGAAACTTCAAATCAGTGTTACTGTTAACTTAAGTTTAAGAGCAGGAAAGAGAAAATCTAACGTCCATTTGACCGATTGATTTGGAAAGGAAAAAAAACAAAAATTGTGGATAATGACTTTTGTTTCTTAAATTTATATTTTACAATGTTTGTTTATGACGGGGAAAATTAAACAGGGAGTAGATAAGGTGGTTAGGTAACAACACGAACACCTGTTATTTTCTGTGTCGGTTCTGTTAGATTTATGAAGCGCGGAGCAGCAACAAAATTATATTTTCAAACAATATCAAATACTCTTTCGAACTTTTGAAAATAAAGTGTTTGCTTTTGTTAATAATAAATATTTTAATGTTTTGAACAAGCAGCAGTAAAAAGTGATAGTGTGTACACACTGTAAACGAAATTATTTCTTTTTTGTGGGAAAATACAGAAATGCCAACTTCTACTCACGTGTACAGCTAAAAACATACGTAGGTGAATATTAGACTATTAAGATATTTTTACCGGAAATAAATTAAAATACTTGCTAAATTCATAAACTAAAAAACAAAGTTTTCCATAACTACAACACAAACTTCTTTTTTTTAAACAAAACAACAACCATAAAAAAAACATGTTAAAGCACGCACCGGTTTACAATAAAAGGAATAAGAGGTATTGTGATGTCATATATATGGAAATAAATAAATGGATTAATTAATATTTCGACTTTTAAGAAAATAAGCCATACCTAAACTTCTACAGGCAAAAGGAATGCGTGTTAATAAATGCTTTTGACCAGACATGAAATTATGAATCCTCCCGATTGAAGCCATGTTGCTTTTGACCGGAAGTGAATCTTGTCAGCCAATCACAACACAAGCCACGCAGTCAAATATGGGATTTCCTTTTCATTAAGATTCTTTTGAATTGAAAAGAAAAAAAAAATGAAATTTTATAATTCATTTTTCGGGTATTAATTTTTTAATTAAAAGACGACATATAGTGTTATACAAAGTCTGTATCAATGATTTACTAAACGTAACTTAAAAATGTAGCACGTGTCCTCCGAAAGTATAGAGCAGCCAGTGAGAATCGAACTCACTACTCATTACCTCCACTTTTTCGCTGAAAAAAAGAAAAGAAAAAGAAAGCAGCATCATTAAAAAAAGCCCCAAACTTAATAAAACAAAGTTTTATCGTCAAAATGTTTATTTTATTACTAAGAGAAAAAACAAAGAACTTTTTCATTATCCTATTAATTTTTTTAATCCTTTCTAGCATGTTCGAAATTTTGGTTAAGTTTTTTTTTTTTTTTTTACTCAGCGGTCGACGTAATTTACGATTAGTAGTGTTTTTGCATTTTTCCGGTAAAAAAACATTGATTTGTGAATTCTTAAAAAATCAAATAATTGTTGGATTCTAATGAAACTTTCAGGATTTATTCACAAATGAATTAAATTAATTTTGAATTTTTTTTAGAAAATCTTGGTATGTTATCCCCCACTTACTTAATTTCTTGAAATTTCGAGAAAGTACATTTTCATTCGAAATTTTTTTTTTTAACTAGAAGCAGGAATCCTTGGAGAATGGAAATCATCATTTTTTTTTACTATTATTACTAATTTCCTGAAAATCTGCTTCGAATTGTAAAATAAAAAAATGTAATAAAACTATGACATTATTTAATTACAAAAGCTTCTTTTTTATAAATATGATTTATTAAGAACACTATTGTTTTAAGAAAAAAAAACAAAACAAAAAAACAAAATTTGATGAATAATTAAATTTTATAAAAATTGTTTTCATTTTTTTAAATTATAAATTTTTAAAAATTCTACATTACTTTCATCCACCTAAGTGATGATGTTATTTAAGTGAAATCTATATTTACTAATCAAAAATTGAAAAGCTTAAAACAAATAATTTTTAGCAAGATTTTAAAAATATTTTTTAAATTTTTTTATGCATATAAAATATTATATAATATGCCCATTTTTGAAAGTATGGTTGACCATACACGACATTATTAGAAAATAAGAGCGATGACTCTAGTAAATTTAAAGTCAACATTCCTAAAATTAGATTACGGAGAATATTTTCTAACATTTTTATTTTTTAAGATTGCTAAGTACTTAAAGATTATATTAAAAAAAAGGGCTCACTCGTCACTCTCTTAAATTATGTTTTAACAGATAAGGTCTCCGTAGAACAATAATTAATCTGTCACTACCTTTATCTGCACTTTTTGTGATTGACGAGCGATGTGAAGTACGTACTCACTTGTCCTGTTTGTTTTAAAAATCCATTTCTCTGTTATTTTAAAATTAAAGTAAATAATTTTTTTTTTCAAATTAGATTAATTATACTTTAAATCAGCTAATATTCCTCAGATAAAGTTTCAGAAAATTATATTTTTGGAAGATTTAACTGAGAATTAACTTCTGTTTACAAATGTGTCAAAATGGTTGATTTTAATGATTTTATTAATAAAAGCAACCACAAAATTCGATTCCAATCAATATGATTTCTATTTGAAATGCACCAGAGTATTTTGCTTACTGGAAATAGTAAATTTAATCATTTATCTTTCAATTAAAGCTAAAAAGAAAGCTTCAAAAAGATTTTAATTTTATTTTTAAAAATTCATTTGAAAAATCTTAGGTATTGAAAATTAGTGGACGTGACTACACCAAGTCATGTAACAATATAATTACATTTTTATTGTATATTTCCTTTGGGGAGGTTGTGTTAATTGATTAAATTACATGAGTCAAAAATTGTTGTGTAACTTAGGCTGCGCGATGAAATTAATAATTTCCTCTCACATTAAATTTCAGTATTCAACAAACATAGAATAAGGACAACATGAGAAACAACTGTTTTTGCACAACAATAAATAAAATATTTATATAACAAAGAGGTATAATCAACTGGAGTAAAAAGATAGTTTTAAAAAGTTCAAACGTCCTTTTATGTTTAGATGAAAGGTTATCAAAGTTCTGGTTTGATAGATTATAATTTGTTGAATGGTCAGTACAATAATGAGAAAGTGTGTCTTGGTATTATAGTAATCTAAGAAAAAAAAAGTTCAAGTTTGTACTTAAAGTAGAGAAATATTGTTTACGACTTACTTTAAGGTTTACGGAATTGTTGCTCTTTGATTTGCTTTCACTGGTTCGTAGAAAATATTCTGTAGTTGAAATAAGTGGTTCTTAACAAGCTGTGTTTATGTTAATTGCAATAATTTAACGTTGAGCTTGAAAGCGTATGAAAAAGTGTTAAGTTGAATGTGGAAAACTTGAGTTGATTGTTCGTCATAAAATATTGCTATGTGAATGAGTGTTCTCTCAGGCTGGAATCATGTTAAGGAACTTTAACGTAAAGCCTGGAACTGTGTGACGAGTTCAAAGGATTCCGATCGGTGCACTGTCGAAGATGAAAGACGTTTCATATTTTATTGCTAATTTTGGTCACGTGATAGGCTCACAGAAGCTTGATAGATTTTGGCTGAATTATCTTTTTGGTCAGGTCAAGAACTAGGTCGATGTTATTAAATATTAAGTGACAAATTAGAAGTTGAGATTTTCTGAAAATATACATTAAGCTGAATAAGCTCTGTGATCCACTTTTTGTACGAAAATTGATATTGATATTCGGGTATGATTTAAATATTAAGTGACCAATCAGAAGTTGAGATTTTCTGAAGATATTTTCTAAGCTGAATAAGCTCTATGATCCACTTTTTGTACAAAAATTGATGTTGATAAAAAAAGGTAGTAGCGTGATGCTCGACCTTGTTTATTTACTTTCAGTCAACAAGTGCCAAGACGAGGTGGCATTCACATTGTCCGGAAGCGTTCTGATCGAACTACTTTTTGGGGTATAGTCAGGTTTTTAGCATTTTAAACTTATTATATGAACGATTTCACTCGCAATTTCTTTTAGCGGGGTCTTTGTTATTTGGCTTATTTTTGTTTTTCAAATCCCGACTCTTACTAGTCAAAATTTTGAATTAAAATTTTATTTTTGCCCACAGGAAAAAAAATATAGTGAAAATGAATTATGTTGCACTTACGTCAGATATAAGGGTGATAAATCAATGTTTGTTATGTAAAAATGGTTTGAAACGTTTATTCTACCCAAATATTATGGTTTTCGGAAAGTAATTACGTATTTAATCGTTATGAATTATGAATCGACCAAACACGCTTAAAAGATAAAAACAACAACAACAACAAAAAAAAAATGAGTCTAGAATTAGTTTATCATCGCTTGTACTCGATTGACAGCCTGTCGTTCAGAGTGAATTTCAGAGTTTAACCCTTTGAGGCCTCACCACCGCTTTACCGGTGGTAGAGAAAAATGACTTAATGTCCAGCCACCGGTTGAACGGTGGGTAAACACTTGCGTCGTGTTTTGCTATTGTTTGTCTTATTTGAGTAGACAGGGACACAAAGAAAGAATTCTGATGATAAAGTGAAGGCATGCAATCATACTCTCTCCCTGCTAAGTATTATGCTTATATTTTTGCAAGTATTTTTTTTATATATCTACCATGAAACATTACATACCAATCGTTTGCGAATTTTGACTCAGGAGCTCAAGCAGAAGGGTTAAAATTGTTCAGGAACGCAGGGCAAAAAGAGTTAATTTCGGAAAACTGCAAAGAGGGAATTTGAGTTCATCATGAACTTTCGTTTAAGAACTGATGATAACGTTTCATTTGTAGCAGTCTTCTAACCCGGCATGCCAACCTTTTATTTTTGCATCGCATTGTTCCAAGTGATGAAAAATGGGTTTTGCGTGTCAAGAAAAAAAATGTTTGTCCGCATTAAAATCTGCTTATTTCCGAGACCAAAAACAAACATTATGTTAGGCTATAGCGGTACCAATGAGAATCGCTCACGGGAGCGTATAAAAAGGAGTAGCAAGATATTTTCTTTCTCTCCGCAGACATTGGTAACGTGTCCTTTTTTTTCATCAGTCCAAGTCCTTGCATTATATTTCGTGCAATATGATAGGTGTCGTCTATTATAGAACATGGAAAGCCTATCACTGCAGTTGTTTATTGCTAGCAACTTAATTGGATAAACGATGCTTTGTTAAACAGGAAAGATGTCATTCTACAGCATGACAATGCAAAGGCACATGAACTCTGCAAAACAAACTCAAGAAAAATGAACATTGTTCGGACGGGAGTTTTTGTCACATAGCTGCATAGTCCCCTGGTTGGGCTGGTCCCATCTCATCTTCTTTTGGTCGGCGATCGCTAATTGTTTTGATTCAGCAATGAAAGACTTCAAACACAGAGAATTTTAACAACTATTTTTATTATTCATGTCGACATGTACATTATCTAACTATCCAGTTGGGGTCGCCCCCATCATTAAGGAGCCGTTTCGGACACGAAAGAGAACACGTCTATATCGCTTGATGGGTAAGAAGCCAACTTGCTGAAACCTTTCTCCTATCTATCTTTCCCACGCTAGCTCAGCCAATCAAAATCGACTTCCCTATTATGGCTCACATCTGATCACGAATGTCAACCTCCAAAAGTCGGAACAGAGATACACTTCTCCTAAAAATAATAGCCTGCTAAATTATTATTTAACAACATTTCCCGTATTCACCAGCCTGGCAGCTGATCTTTCCTCTGGCCTAGCTCTAAGATCTCGGTGGGGAAAAACTGGTTGGTCACATTACAGTGTATGGGAGACAAAACTAGCGATGATCTATCGTCGCCGAGTGGACCATGAAATTTCACCTATCGCGATGAATGGAAAATCACTAGTTTAGTTTTTGAGGCATTGAATTGTGACCATCCAGTGCTCAC